TGTAATTGCACTAAACAAATCTGGCCAGAGTTTTCAAAGGAAGTCTAACATATGGTGCTGGAGTTCAGGGATACAATTTATCAGAATATTGCACTCTCCAAGTGTGTGGAGGGCATCTCTTCTGCTGTTAAAGCAACAGCGTGGAAAACAGAGCCAGGGTAAAGTGGTTTAAATGAAGGCTAAGGACTCCCTTGCCTCCCCGAGCAATTGAGCTTCAGGAGCAAATTAAGCTATTTACAAATCTTGCTCAGATTCAGGAGATAATTTTGGTTGGAGAAAAGTTCATATTGCAGATGAGCGAGGGTCTCTCAGTGGGTAAGCATAGAAGCCAGTGGGCTGTGAAAAGTTGTATCAAGCAAGCTAGTCCCAGGAGGGGCAGAAGATGATAATAGCCTTGAAACCTCATTGGGATAATGGGTCATTCACACTGAAGACAATGGATTCAACCTGGAGAAGAAGGGGGAGGGAGGAATAGTTACCCCTGAGCCTGCTGTAGCTTGTTTGGCTGAGTACAATGAAGGCCGAGAGGAGAAACGATTGCAGCTTATAAATGCAATTTACAAAGAACAAACTCCATAGACAGTAAAACCTCCTTGAAGGAAAAAGCTAGGCTGGTACAAGTACACTCCAGTGTAAAGTGTCTGTGAGAACAAAATTAGGACATTATGAACCACCAGAACTCTAAGGCTGTGCTGCAGCTTCCTGACTTGGAGTCTTGGGAGTCAGAAATCTTAACAATTTAAAGATGGTATTGGATAAAGGCATGAAAAGGGTAACATGCTGATGAGCAGAGACAAGGCAGGGCTGCACCAGAGCATACAGAAGGTGCTTTTCAGTCATGAGCTTCTGAAAGGAAGTCCCGTGTTGAGCAAGGTGTGCGTCAAGAGCATTTTGTCCCTTTTTCTACCTCTAAGCCAAGCCTGTCTTCAAGCTGGGGGAGGTGGGGTTGGAGAGAACAGGTCCGGTTCCTTTTTGCAATCCTTTCTGCGGCAAGCTGTGCCACAGCGGGCGAGACACGGCAGCCCTTTAGCCGCTGTGACATCAGCTAGTGACTTCATCTGGACTGCCAGAAGAGTGCAAGTGGGCGCCGTATTTAACAGCAGCGGTGGCAGGCTGCCTGTCTGGGTCGGGCTGCAGCTGCTGGCTGGGACGCGAGGCCAGCCCAGGTCACAGCTTGTCTCTGCCTGAGCTCCTTCTGGTCCTCGCTGTGTCAGCGTCAGTGGCAAACTGGTACCGTTTGCAGATGGAAAATGCTGTGCTCCCTGGGAAGGTAAGGGCTGGTGAGAAAGCCTCCCTGACGTGCCTTGCTGAGCCGAAATGAGCACAGCTGCCTTTGGCTCTGATCTGACGTTTCCACACTGGCTCTCTGGTGGGAAAGGGAAGTCTGTCTCGGTGGGAATAAGTTAGAAAAGTGACAAAGGGAAGCATCTTATGCTTGGTGGCATCTCTGCCACCTGTCAGGCATTCATGTAACACATGGGCATTTCAGCGGTTGTCAATGTCTGTAACCACACCTGCTTCTTTTTTTATTTTTCTAAAGAGCCACAAAAAAATGATGAAAACCAGGAGGAAAAAGCTACCATGCCGTTCTTCCTACTTTTGACATCCATGTGTCAATGTTAAATTTTGAAAGTTCTCATTGTAGTCACTCTTTTCTTATTGCAGGCAAGCAGAACTGATGGAAGTATTGACCTTCTTTTAATGAGTTTTAAAAGAAAAAACGAGCGTGACTCAGAGGAGCAAGATAGTATAGACTGATTGATGTGTCTTAGTTTTTAGCCACTACTGATGTATCTTTTTGAAATTTGCTCTGTTTTATCATTTTCCTTGCATAGATCGATACTTGCTTGTGGTGCTTTGTTCCTTGCAGTGAAGGCGTTTGCATCTTGCCAGCTGTGGCCACAGCCTGCATCTTCCCCCCTCGCAAAGGTCGGCTTTCCAGCAGCTCCAGGGCATGGGATGCTCGGGGCAGGCGTGCCCTGACCCGGTCCTGCAGCGACCTGGGGTGCTTGGCAGCAGGGAGGAGAAGGTGGGGCGAGTCCTGCATCTCCTCCGAGCCCAGAACCGGGCAGCTGTCAGCAAAAGATTCTCGGGCTGCTTTCCGCTGGTGCTCCCCAGTCCTCCAGCACCACCTACAGCTCTCTGCAGACTGAGGAAACGCTCCAGCGCCACCAGGTAACAGCCCCGCCACGACCAGCAAAGGGCCAGCTGCTGAGCCGAGATGGTGGTTTGGGGGATGTTTGCAGGTGGGTTAGCCTGGAGAAAAGAAAAAATCGAACAAACCAAAAAAGAAAACCCTGTAGTTTTCACACCAGCAGGGTGCCAGGTTGTGAGAGGAGCCTGACCTCAAGGAATCGTAACCAGCATCTTGGCACAGGTCTTGAGAAGCGTTGCAGCCTAAATAGTGTTAAAAATTAATTGACATTTTGAGCAACGAGCCGTCAGCTGCATTGTTTGGGGATGGAGAAGTATGTAAGTAAGTCTTTTTTTCATGAGACAGCTATTTTAAGTCTGCTTCAGCTGTCTTTTGCTTTTCAGACAGGCTAAAATTTGTACTGTCTCCTCTCTTCTGGAGAGGAAATTAGGCTTCTAATTCATTTAACTGGAGAAAGCCACGTTAGGATTTCCAGATGGGGTATGGTCAGCCAGAGGATGCCAGCACAGAGGGTGAAGCGCCCCTGCAGACAGGGCTGTGCCGTGTGCTGGTAACCTGGGCTCTTTGCAGGGTCTGGGTGCTGCTGCCGCGCCGGGGATCTCCAGTGGAGCGACGAGCTCTGACTGTGCAGCTCACTGCCCGCGTCCAATTCCCGTAACGACTTTTGAACCTGTATTTGGGTGCTGGGAATTTGACAACTTTGACAAACTTGGCCATGAGTCTGAAGTGTTTCTGTGCAGCAGGGCTTGTGAGTAGAGGAAGGTCAGTCCAGTCTCTAGAGCCAGGCAGGCAAGAGTCCTATTTTAATTCTCTCCTTTACTACCCTATGCTCACCTCTGGGCCAGACTATTTTGTGGTACTGACTCCTTTTGTTGTCTTTTTTTTGTTGTTTTTTTTTTTGGTTGGAGGACTAGAACCACTAGAAGTAAGGCAAGGAGAGCGCTTTGTCCCATCCATGCTGTAAACGGAGAATGGTCCAGGACTAAATCCTTCTGTTACTATAACCCTAAAAGAATCCCCAGACAACACTAGGAAACATGCTTAGTATAAAGAGTTTATTAAAGAAAACGGCCAATTACATTTCTGTGAACAATCCACATGAGAGGGGTGGTGTTTTTCAAAATACGTGTGCTTTTGGATTGCTACGTGTGAAGGGGCAAGGGCTCCCAAGAGATGGAAGTGTTACGGGAATGCTCTCTCCGCCTTCAGCTGAATTACTTGGAGGGGAAGAAAATGAGAAGGTAGAAGTGGAAGTGGCAGTGGGATTTTGCTTCAGGATCTCCCTCCCTTGCTGCATTCCCGTATGCTGGACTCGGCCTGGCTGCCTTTGCCCGCTCCGTGCGCCGGTTAAAGGCACAGGCAGAAGGGTCTCCTCGCAGAACAGCCGTTCAGTTCTGCAGCGACCCGGGTGCAATTTGAAAGGCAGCGCTGATTGAGGCCTTGCCCAAACGCTTGGAAACGGGAACAGAAGTCAGACAGAAGTGCACAGGAAAAGAATACAACAGCAGGTAACAGATTAAAACATTAAGCTCTGCGATTGAGGCTTCTGTAAGCAGGCTGTCACATCTTGGCTATGTTTAAATGAACACCCTTGGTGAGTTTCAATTAGAAGAAATGTACATTTCTCAAAGTCTCAAACATAGCCATCTGTAATATAAAAGATGCTATGAGCGCACACTTCACTCCCTTTTTACGTTAATTTATATTTTTCTCAATGTTCTTAAAGGACAGCACGTTTTCTAACAGACAACAGATGCCAAACCTACTTAGTTCACACACAGCAGAGAGGTAAAGGAAGGAGGTGAACTGGCTTCTACAGTTGGTAAATGAGACTGGAAATTTTTATGTCAGTTTTAATATGGAATCACAGAATCATAGAATGGCCTAGGTTGGAAGGGACCTTAGAGATCATCGAGTCCAACTTCCCTGTTTTTGGGCAGGGACACCACCTCTCGACTAGACCTGGCAACATATTTTCCATAATAAAGCCATGAGGAATTTTTTTGCTACTTGTGCAAAACTCTGTGACTTGATGAAAAGGATTTCCCGTCTCCCCCCCACTTTTAAATTTTCATTCTCTTGAGGTGTGCTCTTCAGGAAAACCTGAGGCAAGAAAGTTTGGCACTTAGCGTTCTTGCAAGGATATCAAAAGCTATCAAAGTTTGGGGGTTTCACGTGTACTTTGCAAGGACAGAAGAGGTAAGACACAAAGGAGCTACACGCCCCTGATGTAAAACTGCATAGGTAAGATTCACTATTGAGAAACAGAATTCCCTTTACGAGACCCTTAAGCAAGCAAGCTTGAGATGACGTTACAGAGCACCTTGCGCGAGAGACCCAGCTGACAGCAGTGCCCGTTCTCACAAAGAGATGTCGGATATAAGGTGTGATTTATTTCCCTATGCTGGGCTTAACAGGAAGAGGAAAACCTAAAGAATGGAAATTAGCAAATGTCACAAAAAGTATCTCTTCTTCACCAGGACTATACACCCAGCAGCTCACGAAGGAAAACTTGGTTCTGGGCAGGGAACAGCTCTGCGGAGCGTGGCAGCACACTGAATCGTCAAGCCCAAACTCCACCTGCCTGGCAGAAGGAGCACATGCAGTTAATGTCCGTGAGTTACCCTCCTTTGATTTTCTGGTCCCAGACTCCCAGAGCCATCCTCCTTGCCCTAGGAACACTGAGCCAGCAGATGTTTCTTCTCCCTTGGTCAAGCCTCCAGGAAGTGCTTTCCTGGAGGCTTTTTTACACCAGTACAAATAAGAAGGGTCAAATCCAAAAAATACTCGACAGACTCAGTTCACTCTTGCTTTATCAGAAGATGCCACACATTGGAGGAAACAGTTACTTAATTTTGGCGAGTGCTGCTGCTCTCCTTTCTGTGTTCTGGAACAAGGCTCGGATCAGACTCTTCACTTCAGCTGCGGAGAATTCAGCTGCAAGAGGCCCCTTCCCATCCGCCCACCTATGTGGGAGAGAAAAATCTTTATTTAACCAAACCGCACAGAAATGACATGTTAAAACAAGCCTTCCGAACACGCATTACAGTAGTAAGTCTAAATGCAAACCAAATCCAGTTAGCAGCCTTTCAGCTGTTGTCCTGTGAGTCCAGAATTGTTCAGCCAGGCATATGAAGCCACAGGTTGTCAGGTGAGGCATTACGAACTGTACCTTCTCCAAAAAAAATTATGCAATCCTCGTGTATAATTGAGATGAATCCTCCTTGCAAGTTAAAAGAAGCAAGAAAGAGCATCTAAAAAGCAGAGGCCAATCGTGTGGCACCATTGCAGCAGCAAGACACAGCTAACACCAAAACCAGCAGGTAAAATGCCAGGCTCCTTACTGTGAAATACCTCTGAACTTAGCAGAGCCACGGCTGGCCCTCCCATGGCTCTTGTTTTTTACCATTGCCTTTTTCTTTGCAGGAGGCAGCTGTGAGGATATGAACAAGCCTGAAATGGACTGTGAACACACAGTCCAGAAACGGCCCCCAGAGAAGTCATCTGATCCTTGCTAACGGTGATTGCCTTTCACCTGAACAGGCCCCTGAGCGCAGCGCCCTGCTGACGCCACACCGCTTCCCAGCTCCCTGTTGCTGGGGTGAAGAACTAACCGAGAGGGAAGAAAGGAAGACACCTACTGATCTACTATCTCTTGAAGGTTGGCTTGCAAGATGATCATCAGCTCTCTGAATGTCATCCATTTCTGCACGTAGACTGGGACTTCCTCCTGGTATTTCTTATTTTTGTCTTCTTCGGGTAAAGGGGTGAAAACTTGGGGTCCTTCCTCCACCATGGTCCTACAGAGGGAGTACAACCTATCTGCATCTTCTGCAGAGATATCCTAGAATTGAACAAATGTTAACAGGGGAGCAGTTAGATGAATGTTTGAAGTGCCAAGCAGTAAGTGAAAGGAAAAAAAGGTGGTTGTGCGCGCGAAGACGAAAGCAGGAGTTTGAGTCACGTTGAACGTTCTTAATGTTACGTCTTTAAGAATTGGCTATTTTAGCAAGTTCTCAGTGATTGCCTCAGAACAAGGCGGGGGTTGCGCTTTTAAAGCGTTGTCTTGGTGCAACGGCGTTTCACTGTGAAGCAGAGGTGTTACGATGAAGGTCTCAACCATTTACAAGGAAATTGCTGGCCCAGTGATGAAAGCCAAGCTTTTTAGCAGGCACAGCCTGAGCAACTGTCCTGTAAACTAGCTGTCAGAGCAAAAGAGGACTTACTGGCCTAATGCACAGTGGGAATGCTCTTTGGATGTAGACTACAACTAGAACAGATGCACTAATGTGTTTCTAGCCTGTACTGTGAAAACTTATTTTAACTAAGAATTGTAATAGCAAATTTCAGTCTGAGATGCTGCGGGTATTTCGGCATCTGGTGTCTAGATAGGATGGAGAGTTCATTAGAGATGCACAGATTGAAAACGTGTCAGGAGAGATGGAGTTTGAGCCATCAGTTAACTCTTGTGCCCTGAATGCAGAAAGAGAGATTGATTTGTAGAAATGTTTACAGGAGCAGTGACACACCCGCATCCAAATTCCAGTGAAACCATGGCCACTTCCCTGACTCTTCCGTTCACCAGAGAGGCTTGGAAGCACTGTAAGGGCACGTATGGTCTCAAATGGATGCGAGTTTCTGGTATCTTGAACGGTTCTCATAGACAGGACCACATTTCTAATTTCTGTGAAAGATAACCGATCCCCTGGAAGCTGGTCTTGGAAAGAACCTGCAGTGGTCACAAGTGTCAGCTGTTCCCACCACCCTACGCCTGGTGTATCCATCTCATGCAGTTACCTCCAGGGCAGCAATCCTAGAGACAATCTCTGTGAGGGCTGTGTTCAGCAGAGTCCCCATAGCCTTGCAATATACGTTCACTGGAAGGACATCTTGCCAGACTTTTCCCAGTCTTTTCAGCTGATGCAAGACCTGGAAGATAACAGCTATAGGTTATCTACCCGTTATCAGAAAAGAACATTAAGACAGGCACCAAATCAGAAGGTGACTACATACAGTCAGCAATCGGTCTGGAAGAAGCAAAAGGCAATGAAGTATCTGCTGTGGCAGAGAGCGGACATTCCTGGGAAAAAAATGCAACGTTTTCAGTTTGCATTAAGGCGCCTCAAAAGTGCAAGAGATCTTTTCCTTGAACATTGAAAAACATTATAAATGTACTCTAAACAGAAGTTCAAGATGGAGAAGCTCTTCATTTCAACTTGGAGCGAGAGGAACTGAATGCGGCAGGCTTCGATTTTAGAAAAAGACACAGCCCAGGGGGAAAAGGAGGCCAGAAAATCGATGCTTTGAAAAGTTGCACTCTGTGAAACCGCTGTGCAGTTCTTGGGACTGAGGTTACGTACTGCACCTCCCCAAGGACGACATCTACAGACAATTTGGCTTTCGTTGTCTTGCTTACCTGCCTTATCGCTTTGTTTGCTGCAAAGTAATTTTCCTCATCATCCATATTAGAAAAATTCCTGGCACTTGACAGCCTCTCCAGGATTTCTCCTTTCTGCACTCGCATCTGGGCCAGAAAACACTCCATCCCTTTAGGAGCAAAAACAAGCAGAGGGAAGCAATTATGAAATTTGCTCTGCTACTTTAGACACTGTAAGTGCTGAATAATGAACTTACTATAATGTTTCCTTTTTAAAGGATTTTCCAGTCTCTGAACGGTCTCCTAGAGCCAATTTAACCAGGCCCACTCACATACTTGGTAAGCTCTTGTGCAGCTTGCATTGCTACAGCGCTTTTGAAGAAGAGTGGAGTAGCAGCATTAACTACGGATGACGGGATCCTCTCAGGCTCATACAAACGTATCTCGGAATTTGTTTCCATAGAATAAGCAAAAGAAAACATGACAGGACTGAGCATGAGATCCCAAAATATTTGAGCGCCACAACATCTCACTGAATAACGAACTGTTCTCGGAACTATGTGGTGGGCAAGAAGAGCTGGCTTTCAACGAGTCAGGTCCTACACAGCCACCTCGCTTAAGAGCCATAATGCTCCTTCAGAGTTCCCAATCCAGAAAATGTCCTTACTACTTGTCCAAAACTCTTAAATAACAGTCTACTGCTCAAGTCAGTAGCCACGCCTACATTCAGCAGCAATGCTGGAATTAATTACCACATCATCCACTGATATATTACAGTACTGAATGGTAAAATTACCGAGTCTCCTAAAACCAGGTACCAGATCTACAAAAGTAGCTGCTCCATCACACAGGATGTTCGTCAGGCGGTATCGGAACTGGTGTCCCAGGGTAAGCAAGTGGTGAGCAATGTACATGCAGTTGTTGTGGTGAATGGCTGCCAGCTGGGGTAATTTCTGAAGATTCTCCCTGTCCCAGGAAGGAGGAAGAGAAAATAAAGAAATGCATTTATTTAGGCCTGGTTCTGTTAAAAGACTCGTCACACTTACCCTAGAAAAACTCACGGTCCGGCTCAGAGGTTGTAAACAACTAACTGTGGGCAACACCTGATAAAGACATCAGTCAGGATAAAAGCATTTAACCTCCTGCCCCATCCACAAGGAAAGGAGTTGCACGACCAGTGAAACAGCACTTTGGCGTTCCACCCGAGAGCTATATCCACATCGATTCTAGTAATGGACTTTCAAACAGGAAGATGCTTTGTTACAGCAAATTTATGGTGGGGAAAGGGAGAAATATATTTTCCAGTAATACCCCAGTGTTTTCTGGCAGAACTGTACACTTTCAATCTTCACTGCTGCTCTTTTTTACAGGAAAAACACAATGAGAAATCTCTGCATCAGGCGTGGGGTCAAAGTTATGTGGCTGAACTGAAACACAGCGGTTAGAAGAACTGGATCTCCTTAGTCATAAGACTACCAGCTGCAGAAACTCTCAAGAACCTACTTTGCAGCAGGTACGATTTAATAATGGATTCAGAGTACTAGTTTTTTGTCACTGGAGGAAGCCCTTACTAATCTCTGGCTGATGTGGATAAACTGGAGTCAAGTAGGGCTGTTCCCATAGCACCGCTGTCTCTCTCCAGAGCAGGCCCTAGGTCACACCCAAACACACTTACTTGTGGTATGTTGGCACTACATCATAGAACAGCTGGAATATATTCCGTACAGAGTAGAAGAGCTGTATACAGCTATGAAGAAAAGAAGGTTCATGTTAATTTGTTAGTGGAATTAACATCTTGTTCACATGTGACCCTCAACCTCCTCCAAGCCAAACCAGCACTGGCAGTGAAGTGCTGGCACAAAGAGCAGTGTCAAGATCAGTTACAGCAATGTCGTCAAAGGCACCATTCTCAAAAATCCACAAAGGCTCTGATGACCTTGTAAGTTCAGTGTGGAAAAGACAAGCTTCAGACCACCTGTCAGAGGGGAGACACCTGAAACCCCAGGAACAAAGGGAACAGTGTCCCTTCCCTACCGGGTGTGTCTACACCGTCAGCTCTCTGCCACGGGCATTCAGTCCTAGGCAACTCTCCTTCTTCAGGGCTGTGCTCTCTGGTTTTTAAAGCAGACGGTACACAGTTCCTCAAAATATTGACTCACTTTCTCTGAAAAGCCCTGCCAGCTGCAGAGCTGGAGTTTGTTGCTTTCGCTCAGCACAGAGAAAGCAGGAACTCGGTTCAGAATAGGTGACATCACTTATCATTTGGTTTGAAAAAATAAGATGGCTGGGATTTTTCAAAACCACTGACAGCTAATGGATGAGGAAACACCGAACAGAACACTGCAGTGTTCTCAGGACTGAAGCCATGAAGTACACTGTGCACACTAGGGAGTTACCATGTTTTCACTGCTTTATTAGCTAAACCACAGTAAAGCGTACCCGACTGTTCCCTGAAAACCTAAATCTGAAAGGCTGCTGAAGCCCAGTACCGCAGGGAACAGTCTGCAGCTGTTTCTGCTGTACCACTGTACTGCACGAACCCAGGGACGCGCCCTCCAGCCAAAACAGAGAGTGATTTTAATAACCGATTCTAATTTTTAAGTATGTCCTGTCCTTTTAAAGTTCTTTTACTCTATTCACAGATGCTTGGTGTTGCCAAAGGCACTAAGTACGTGACACCCACGAGATACCCGCTGATATGTAACTCTTACCACTGGTCTGTGCTGGCTGTAGCCTCCAACAGCGTCTGATAAGCCAGCTCCATCAGTTTCTGCACTGATGAACTGATGCGGCACGTGGGCAGAGAAAACGTGTGCTGGCTCAGTTTAGTTTCGTTCTCCAAATTCACCGTGTCGTTATGCAGAATTTTAGAAGTTTTTTGCACTTTTAGGTGATCTGCCCCAGGATCAGGAAGCCTTGGTAGGGCTACACAGGAATCGGGTGTGATCTAAGGGAAAACAAGAGAGACGTGTAATGTAATTTTGAGCCCACAGAAAGGACACGGTGCAAGACTGCAAAATATTGAACAGCAGAGACTTAAGACTCGGGATAAACACAAGGCTGCAGAAGTCCCCTGAGAAAAACAGCCACCTCAGTCACCTTTACAGTGTTGTGTATTTCTGAGGTCATCAGGTTCCTGGCTGCCACAATCACATCCTGGCACTTCTTGTTAGCGAAGTGGGAGTTGACATTCCGGGCGTATTTCAGTAAATCCGTTGTATCTCCTTTCAAAAACTGCATGTTCTTCAAGGCTTTTTCAAATTCCTCTGTGGATTTAATCACCTGAGAAGAGCAGACACATATTCTACATTGACACGGTTTCTTAAAATCAAAGCGCAAAATTAAACTTTGGTATAAATTCTTCCACTCAGCTGAAAGCAATGGATGAACCTAGGTTTTAGAGGGCATTCACAGCTCTTTGGCAATCTTTAGGGAAAAGCTGGCTCAGCTGAGGGCCACGATCACACAATAATACAATGTCTGAACTGCAGGTTTGTCCCCCCTGACTGTGCCGGGAAGCTAATCAAAAGCTAGAAGAGCAAGATGATCAAACTTCATTGCACTGGATTACCTGGGGTAAAGGGACTGGGAGGTTTACCCTAAGACTGTTTCTGCGTGCAACAGTCCCCTCTCCAGGAAAAGGAGTTTTTGGCCCTCTTCAGTAGTGGTAAGTTCTGTTTTATGTAAGTGGTTTTTGGAGGAAAAAAAATAAAATGGCCTATGCAAGAAACCCCCCTGATCATTAACAACAGATACAAAGACAACCAGAGCAGTTGGTTCTCCGGAGGCCAGCTGAGCAAGCAGCACCACCACATTGTCACCTTCAGCCTCTCAGAGGCTCAGACAAGCGCCTTACGTAGCACACCCTGACAGTCTCCAGGTGTCAGCTAAATACAGGCCGAGCTCCACAAACCAGAGACTTGCACACTTTACATGACAGGAAAAACAGCCCACAGCTTAACTGAGAAATACAGTTATCTTAGAAAACACAACTGCTTGTTCAAGCTGGCCGTCTGGCATTTCTACCACATGAATCGGAAAGATTTTGAGACCCACCTCTATATACTGCTCTAGTTTGCTGCTGTTGGTCGGGATTGAATTCACCAGGCAGTTCTGAATGAGGTAGTCTGACAACTCTTCCCATATCATATCACCCAGAAGTTCTGCCAGTATAACTCTGCTCTCCTTTTTGTCTTCTGTAGGCTGCTCAAGAGGCACATCTGAATTCAAGAGATCAGAAACGGATTTTTAACACATTCGCTTCCTGGATGAGATCCTTCACCAGTTCATTCAGTCCTTCTGGTCTGAACAGCATCTATCAAATATTCCAGAATGGAGGCATTCTTCTTGTGCAGGCCACGTGCTGGGCCTCTGCAATCATGCACCCAACCAAAAGACGACTCAATTTATGTGTAAACTCAGCCTGCTTTCCCAGCGTGTTTACCTCGTGAAATGCTAGCAAAGGCCAGGCCAGTTTCTAGCCAAGGGAAGATCCTGCATGTGCCCAGCCTGACCAAGGGAACTCCCTGGGTTGCATCGTAACTTCCACCTTTTATTAGACCGGTGGCATGCAAAGATCTTCAATGCAGTGAATGCTGGGTCACTGCTGTGTCCAGGGTGACAAGGTGTTGAGTTGCCCAAGAGCACAGCATAGTACGGTAACGTTAAAAGCTGCTTAGACCTTACGCAGAATTCAAGATCGCTTAACAACCAGATATCCAGAAAATTACATGAACAAGGTACAGATCTCAGCCTAATTCCAAAAGGGAGAAACTACCTACTTAGCAGATATTTGTGGAGAACTTCAAAAACAAGCTTGATCTTGTCAAAAACCTCCACAGGAGAGGAATGATCCAAGTTAGGCTCCTCAGACTTAAAACGCAGGATAAACACATCTGACTGTTCCTCTGTGAATGGCTGAAGAGGCGGGTATGAAATCAGTGGCTTGAGGATGTATTTCAGCAACAACTGGCCTGAGAAATGAAAAAGAATGTTTTCCAACAGCAGAAGGCAAGCAGTGTGCTCCAGCAAGGCCCAACTTTGACTATTTTGGATGTAGAGCTTCTTCACATGAAGCGGAAGAAACGCTCTCTTGATTAGCTGCATCAGGGAAGAGCTAATGATGTAAAAGGCTGGGTTTAATTTCACTAAAGATCATTTTACTCACATAACATGTATATGGAGGCCTAGTAAAGAGCAGCATGTTTAATGTCAAGTGAAAAACAGCTGGAAGCATGAAATCCTGTCCTAGCATCTGCTAGACTTCCTGATTTATTTTATCAACACTCAAGAAAGCTGAAGCCCTGAAATCAACAGCCTTGCTCTTGGTAGATGGGACTACAAACCCACACAGCCACAGAGCAGAAGTATTCTAAATTGACATGAAAGGATAAATAATTTCCTATTAATAAGAATCAGAGCATTCATCTCACACTCAGTGGGAAACGCAAGCCAAGAGAAAAAGAAGCCTTCTGCTGTACTGCAGAAGTGAACTGGACTGCGATACCTGTCTGCCAACTCGGAACTCACTCAGGCTACTCTAGCTGTGTTTATCTGGACCCACGGTTTGTCTTACCAAAAATTTTAAGCTTGGTGTGCAGTTCTCCTAGGACAGCAAATGCCTGCAGCACAGCAGCAACAGGCGGGCCAGCAATCTCCTCCTCTTTTGACGGCGCTGTGCGTAAGTGCAATTCTGAATGCATCACTGACTCCAGGCTGGTGCTTTCTAAAGAAAAAGAAGAACCACCTCTCTGTCAGAGTGCAGTCTGAGACACAGCAACTGTCAGAAGCTACTGCCTTCCTCAGGCGATAGGTAAGGCAACGTTCCGCCTCTCCCCATTTCCACAAAGCACAGTTCTTGTAAAAGCAGGTCAGAAGGGGGCAGAGAGTTCCTTGTGTTACAGTGCAGGACAATGGAATGAGAATCAGTCTCTTAGAATGATCCAGAATTCTCATCAGAGTCATCTTGCAATTGAACGATGTTCCTCTTCTCCTCAAGTCAAATCCAAAGGAAAAGGCTTTTTTCTTTGCCAGAGGAAAGAAAGCAGTGTAGAGACCCTTCAGCAGCTCTCGCTCCCATTCATTAGCTTAAGCAACCGGCAGAAAGAGCCCCTTAAACCAACCATAGTGCAACGGTATTACTGTATTTCCCTAGCCTGCAGGTGCTTGAAACTAGACGAGGCAAACAGCGAAGCAAAACACAGTGAAACAAACTCAAAGTGCAAGTTACCTTTTGAAGGAGGAAGCTTCCATACAGCCAGTTTCTGCCATTCTTCTCCGAGGTGGTAGAGCATGTTCTGTGTCTGCACTGTGAGCTCTGTGCCTAGCGCCTTCAGGATCTTCAGCTCAAAGCCCTTGCGGGATTCCAGCATTTTCAGGCTCCTTCGTGCCTGGTGGTAATGGTCAAACACAAAACACAGGTAACTTGCCCCTGCTAATGACAAGCATCTTGTGACATTTATCAAAAGTAGGTTTGAGTGATATCGTCATGTGCTTAATAAGTTACCACCTTTTCCAGCTGCTGAGCTGCTACAACGTACTTCTTCTCCAGCAATGCGGTGTTGTACTCTTTAATAGCTGTATCAAACTGCAATAAACAGATTCATGTACCACTGTGTATCTGCTATTAGATACAATTTTTGAAACAACACAGCTAGAGGGGCTAGGGACAGGGGAGCACAGGCAGTTATTCACAGGCGAAGCCCAGAATAACGCCACGGGCTGAGGACCAGAGAGGGTGACTACTGTGTAGTGATCTTAAGCCGCTCCCTCACCTCCTGTAGCTTTTTCAGAATACTCAGCACCAGGGTGTCTCGCTCCAGCTGCTGCTTCAATTCAGTAAATTCAGCAACAGCGACATTCAGATCTCGCTGAACCTAAAACAACAAACTTTTCAGTATGTTTACAGCAAGCCAATGTTATCAGACACCTTTCCCCTTAAAAGGGTTAACAACCAGAGACTAAAAGTATTTCTGTTACTAGAATAGGTTAGTGGGAGGTTAGAGAAGGAAAAAGCTCCATCCACTTTAGACCTTATGAGGAAGACCCCTGTAAGCAGAAAACAGGGAGAGGGTCTGCAACTGGGCCTGTGGGAGCTGCTCACTTCTTCTCAAAGACTTTGGCGAATGCAGACAGCAGCGCTTTAGGTTCCCCTTCTCCCTGTGGGCCTGTTGCTGCACCACACCTTACTGCAGTATGTGAGGCTGATCCTCCCCTCTTCCCAACGGGGAAGTGTGACACGGTTTTTCCTGACTCTGCCTCGCTCATCCCTTAATGACAGGTCTTTACTTGCACCCTCGAAGCCGGGCACAGCCCTGCAGCGCGTCTCACCAAAAGGCGTTTTATAAGGGCGATCTCAACCAGGGCACCTTGGCCAGGAGTGCCCTGGCTCGGCCCCAGGAGGCCGGGGGGC